ATATAATGTATTATATATGTGGTCAGTATCTCTCCTTCTTTTCTTCCTTTTAGCACTTTTTAAACACTGTCTTCATGATCAACATATGTCCAGTAAGGCGTTCCATTTCCTTAATACACGAAACACAAAACTAAAAAGCCTCTGATGTCCGAGTACCTGGTTTACTTCTCGCGTCTCACAAGCTTTGCAAGTGAAACATCTCTACCACCATAATAGTATACAACAATATGTGACTCATCATGGTGAACTCAGGCGCTCGTCACAATAAATAAATAAAAATAAGCGGCATTTTTTGGCCTATTATCAATTTCTTTCTTTTTTTTTTTTGCTCAACATCTTTTATATCCATTTAAAAACATATAGCTTTTGTGTGGATTTTACTATGAAAATATTGATTAAAGGCACAAAAAATTGTAAATTTTCAGTTTCCAAGGACTCTCAGGCCATGGAAGTTACCAAACTTTGGTAGCCATTTTCTCAAAAATTTAACCTTGAAACCAGGCGACTCTGACTTCCTTCAATCGCAAATATCTCTACTTCTATTCAAGACAGATGAATATTTTTTTTCACCGAAAAAAAGGCAAATGAACAGCCCGACAACCCCATATGCACAAAAATTAACGAACGCCTGATTCCACCGTGTCGTGACACATATTATATCAAAATATACTTCGATAGAAGTTTATTTCAGGCTTGTGACAAAATCTAAGTGACCTGACATGAAATTTCTTACACAAAATGCGTGTCATAAAAAGGCACAAATGCAAAAACACATTTTAAAATTGAATTTAGAATTTCGTTTTAATGGATTTCCTCAAAGAATTGATTTCTCAATGTAGTAGGATATCATTGCAGTACGGAAACGAATAACAATTATTACTAAACCAACATAGACAAAGTCAAGGAAAACTGAGCGGGTGGTTGGAGGGCGCTACTTGTCGGTCTTACTTTTTAACTTTCCGTCTGTTGTTTCTGTCTGTCTGTTTTACTTTTTCCCAGCACTAAATGATCATCATTGTGTCGATGTGATTTTCTTTACTCAAACAATCAAACAAAAGGAAAACGGATCGATTCACAATTCGAGCTTATGAAAATGTCAACATGTAGAAGATAACAGCATAGAAAGTAAAGGACAATCATTCAAAGAACAGAAGTAGGTCAGCCAACTTT